GACGTGGACTGGAGAATGGGCCTGCTGATTGGATGGTGGGTGTGGAACAGCATCTCTGCAGAGGACAAGCTGGCTCATTGTCACCTCCTAGCCCTCTTCCAAGTCACCAGCAGGAGTGGAGATATGGTAGCCTGGCCCTACCTCCTCCCTCCAGCTGCTGCCTCACCAGGCTTCCTGGGGATCTGCCTCATCCTCCAACGTGGTTGTGTGCCTTTGTAAAGTGTCCCTTGTCATTCTGTGGTTTTGCAAATCATCCAAGTACTTGTGGTCAGCTTCCACGTTTTTCTCTTTAGCCCAGAGGCCTCCATCTAGATGCTCCATAGTCCTTTAGAGTTGTCACATTCAAATCGAACTTGCCATCTTCTCTTCTTGCCTCACCTCGGACCTGCTCTTGTCCCAACAAAGGCCACTTCTGCTCCCCCAGGTCCAAACCAGAAAACTGGGGGGTCATCTTGTACATCATTTTCTCTCTCTCAGTTACCACCCCAACCCCAACCAACCAATCTCCCAAATCCAATCAGCTTACTACCTAAGTATCTATCCCTCCACTTCTGTCTTGGGCACCTGAATGCCACCCTCTTCTGCACAGTACTGAAGTGAAGGTTTACAAATATGGTTTTACCCGTTCACTTCCCAGCTTTAACTCCTTCTGTGACTTCCTGCAAACCAACTCCAAGATGGTCTGTTCTCTTATTGAAACTCCAACTCTATAATGGGATATAGAGGCCCTCAGACATGTGGCATCCACCTAATTCTCCAACCTCATTTGTCACCCTCAACCTCATTCTAGAACATCACTTGTAGATCCCCTTGGCTGCATTCAGCTCACCAACATGCCCTCCTGCTTCTTCCTGGGCTTTTGATGACTGTATTTCTCTACCTAGAAAGCTCTTCCTGTGAAACTCCAACTCTGCCTTTACTTCTCAGTCTAGAAAGTGCTTCCTCTAGGAAGCCATTCATGACCACATCACCTCCAGATTTGGGGGAGATGGCTCTCTGCTCCATTTCCCCCTTCCTATGACAACATTCTCTTCTCCTGCATCTTTCTCCTACTCAGGTGGAAGGCTTGGTGGGGGGGCAGGTGCATTGCAGCACTCGTTTGTACCCAACATGCACCCCCCCACCCACTCACACATACTCTCTTTCTTCTTTCTCTGAAAATCTTATGAATGAAGACCTTTAATCTGCTCTCTTCAACCTGACAAGTCTTGAGTTGCTGCAAAATAATTTCCTCCTCTTATAGTTCAGTCTTCCTTTCTGCTTCTCTGCTTACGTTACTTTGGCTGGGTGACCTAATTAACAGTCCTCAAGCTGTCCCAGTACTACCACACCTCTTCAAGATCACTTGTCTTTTTCCTTCCCTCTGAAATCTACCTTCTGGCTGTGACTTCCATGTATTTTGCACTTTGAATTCCCTGATGCTGTTCAGTTCCTGCATTCCAAGTTGAGCTAAGCCCCTAGAGCATTTTAGGTAACAGCTCAATTATCTCATCTCTCCTTTAATCTTTCCATTTCCATCACCACCTTGGAAACTGTAAGGAATGGGATAGACAAAAGTATTTTCTGCTCAAACCTACTCCTACTTCTCTCCTTGCAGGTCTTATCTCAGATCATGTCATCAGCATCCGCCCAGTCACATGCGATGCAAACCTCACAGTCTCATCCACTCCCTCCTCCTCCTTGTCCCGTGTTTTCAGGAAGACTCCAAGATGGTTTGTTCTCTTATTGAAAAGTCTCACCAGCATTCAGTGGCCACAGTGCTAACACCCAGGCCTTGTCACATTTCTCCATCTGAACTAAGATTCCCTCCTGACAGTTCCTCCTGCCTCCAGCCCCACATTTATACCCATACTCACCCACCTACCTACCCATCCACCCACCCATCTACCCCATCTGTCCATCTTTACATCCACCCACTCATCCACCCATCCATCCTCCAGTCTGCCTGCTTCAAACTCTTCTAAAGAGTGTTTAAAAAATATCAATACTAAGCTCTACCACCAGAGATTCTTGCTTAATTGGTTTTTGTGTTTGGAAAAGTTCCCCAAGTGACTCTAATGTGTAGGAAAGGTTCAGAACTACATGGCCTAGGAGAGAAAGTCCCCACTCTTCAGCTTGGCATTCCATACCCCCTATAATCAGGCTCTCACCCAGCCTTGTGTCCAACAATCTTACACTAGCATACTCAGAATTGCAGCTCTCCTGAGACATTTCACCATATTTATATCCACAGTTCCCTCTGCCTACAATATCGCATGCTCTCTCTGTCCTTGTGACTATTTGGAAAACTCCTACCCATCCTTCAAGACCCAGCTCAAATGTGACCTTTTCTCAAGGGTCTCTTTTCCATAGCATCTACTATATGGCATCCTTGTTGCCAGGCAGAAGATGTAGTGACTACAACAGAAACAGTCCCTGCCCTTAAAGATCTCCCAGGAAGGTAATGAGTAGAAATGAAAGGTAGAATATATTAGTCAGCTTTCTGTCATTGTAACAAATATCTGAGATAATCAGCTTAGAAAGATAAAAGGTTTATTTTGGCTCACATTTTTGGAGGTTCCAATCCATAATTAGACAAATCGCTGCTTTTAGGCCTCATGTAGGGGCAACATCTCACGGCAGGAGTGTATGGTGTAGCAAAGCTGCTCAGCTCATAGCCAGGAAACAGAAAAGAGGAGGAGGAAGGGACAGGGTCCCAGCATCCCCCCAGTGACCTGAAGACGTCCCACTAGGCCCCACTTCTTAAAGTTTCCACCACCTCCCACTAGTGCCACACTGGGATTCAAGCCTTTAACACAGGGACCTTTAGAGGATACTTAAGACCCAAACATTAGTCCAGAAGTTCTCAAAATTTGTGCATACATCAGAGTTACTGTAGGGGTTGTTAAATCATAGATGCTGGGCCCACCTGGCCCACCCCCAGCATTTCTGATTAAGTGTCTGTGGTGGCCCTGATGACTTATATTTCCAACAAGGTCCCAAGTGATGCTAATGCTGCTGGTCCAGGGACCACGCTTTGAGAACCATGTTGAGCTTGTGATCAGGGAGCTCTCTCTAGGGAGGTGTCGTTTAAGCTGAACCTACAGGAAGAGGAGGAGGTGACTGTGAGAGGAGCAGGGGCAGGCACATTCCAGGTGGCAGGACAGTGTATGTGAAGGTCCAGGTGGGAAAGTACTTGGCATGAATACAAAAGGGACTCCACACCTGATGTGCAGAGCATGTGGGAGGAGCACAGTGGTTCCTGCAACTTCTCCAGCAGAACTGAGGCCCCATCTGCATCTCTGTTAAGGTCCCATCCTGCCTGCCTCTCTCATTCTTTTCTTCTGCCTTAGCCTCTTCTTGGAGAGCCCCTCCAAGGCTGGCTCTGCATCACAGTCATCTTTGGGTGCCCACAGCCTACCCAGGATCTGCCATGGAGCAAATGCTCGGGGATTCTGGCTGGGGTTGAATTTTAGTGGTCTGGCTCTTTCTCTAGGCTATAAGGAGAAATCTGTTTCTCTCTTCTATAGCAGTGTGTTTTAAGTGTTTCATCTTCTTCCTTTTTCCTTAGACAGTTCCTAGCATAAGCATCTTTTATCTAAACTGAATTCTCTTCTCCCAAATCCTGTTGCCTAGAAAGAATTTTAGCCTATTTGGTGACAGAAATAAAAAACCCTTAAAGTCAACTGAGCCATCCTCATTTACTTTCTTAAGCCCCAGGAGTGGGGACAGCATCCCAGAGACCCATAGGGTGCATCTCTTAGCATTTCCACTTGGCTTTGGGGCAGAGGATGCAGTCACACTGGGAGTCAGCAGAATTCTCTTCCTCAAAAGTGCTGATTGTGGAGTCTGCATTTCTTGTGAGCAGAACCTTGGCTAGCTTCCAGGGCGGTTGGCATTCAAGATAGTAGGGGAACTAGGGAGGCCTTGGGGGACTCTGGAGCTGACCACCTTTAGGCCATACTCATATCCTGCCTTTCCAATATCTCTTTCCACACTGGAAATCAGAGTAAGAGAAAGACTCAGGGTTGGAAGACAAGAACTCCAGCGCAGATGCCCCCTGTGATAAGGTGGGAGCACTGGACGGATTTGGGTTTTGGTTTGTAATTGTTTTTCTCTCTGCTATCCTGGAGAGAAAGAGGAGTCTTTCTTAAGGGTGTAGACACAAGACATGAGTTTGGGAAGCAATGGTATATAGATTGGTGGCTCTCAGACTTGAGCATACATCAGAATCCCCTGCAGGGTTTGTAAATTGCAGGCCCATCCCCAGGGTTTCTGATTTAGCAAGCTTGGAGTGAGGCTGTAGAATGTGTTTTTCCAATAACTTTCCATGCGGTGCTCGTGCTGCTGATGTGGGGAGTATTTTGACACCCCCTGTTTTAGCATAATATCCAGCTACAGTGCTAAGAATCTATCAATCTCTGCAGGACAAAGTCTTATTTGTCTTGTATATAATTGTATTTTTTAAGTCCTCCCCCAAAATACAGAACTGGAACCCCCAGGGCCTCTCCCTCCAGTTCCACCAAGGGATGAAGGCTCCTGTTTATAAGAAGCCAAGAGATCCCCAGAGAAGAACAAAGGATTGCTCTTAATCCTTTGTGGGGATCCTAGGGGTTGGGGAAGGCAAAGAAGGGGAGAGTAAGTGTCCATTTTTTGTTCTTTCCATTGCATAGTTCTAGAAATAATACAAATATTTCAAATACAGCCGGGTTAGTATTTCTTAGCTCCAGGGGGGCAGGCTTCCTCCTAGAAGATGGAGGTGCACCAGTGGGCACCATTCAAGGGGGAAGTAGACAGCATAGACTTAGTCAAAGACCTGGATTCTGGTCCTAGATCTGCTCTGTGATCATGAAGGATCATCTCGGCTTTCATGGCCTCTGTTTCCCTCTCTGTAAAATGTGTAATAATGTAACTGACCTTGAAGGGGTGCCCCAGGGACCAAAAGGGCCAAGGTGGATATGATGTTAAACAGTATGAAACTGTTCCCATGAAGCCAACCTGAGCTGTCTTGGTTTCTACAGGAAGGACCAATACCTCCTCTCACCTGTGAACTGTTGGTATCTGGTCCTGCATCAGACCCGGCGGGAGAGCCGAGACCATGCCACCCTCAATGACATCTTCATGAATAATGTCATCGTCCGCCTTTCCCAGATCAGCGAGGATGTTATCAGACTTTTCAAAAAGGTGGGCAAGTGGGCTTCCCTCCCAGCCCCAGCTCTTGTCCCAGGATGGCCATGGCAACACTATGCCCCAGGGATAAGGGGCTGGGAGTGGGGGTGGCAGGTATGTTGAAGGGTTTAAGGGGCCAAGGGCTTGACCAGATACTCCAGCCCTGAGTTTAAAACCTAGATGTGTCTTTGAAAAACTGTGTGCTCTTGAGCACTTTAGCAGTCACCATCAGAAGAATACAAACCTTTTCCTGCTTAGGTAAGTAATATATATGCATTGTGCAGGATTTGGAAAAGGGCAGATGAGCACACACACACACACAAACATGAAAATCACTGGAAATGTTATCACTGGGAGATATTCTCTTTGATGTTCTAGAATTTTCCTTATAAGTACATATGCAAATATATTTTCTAGGAGTGTTTATAATTTATATATTTTTTAGTGTACATATACATTTTTCCCAAAGGAGATCATACTGCATATATGATATTACTACCTGCTCATGTCACCTAACAAATTATGTAACAGTCATTATAAAATTTCCCCATGTCAAAAGGTAAATTTTTAGCTGGGTGTGGTGGTACACACCTGTAATCCCAATGGCTTGGGAGGCTGAGGCAGGAGGATTGCAAGTTCAACGCCAGCCTCAGCAAAAGCAAGGCACTAAGCAACTCAGTGAGACCCTGCCTCTAAATAAAAGACAAAATAGAACTGGGGATGTGGCTCAGTGGTTGAGTGCTCCTGAGTTCAACCCCCAGTACCCAAATAAATAAAATTTTTAAAAAATATATTTATTTTTTAGTTGTAATTGGACACAGCACCACTATTTTATTTGTTTATTTTTATGTGGTGCTGAGGATAGAACCCAGGGCCCTGCATGTGTGAGGTGAGCATTCTACCACTGAGCTATATATAACCCAGCCCCCCAATAAATAAATTTCTATAATTTGTTTTTGGCTGTACTGGGGATTGAACCCAGGGCCTTGCATATGCTAAATAAGTATCTACCATTGAATTACATCCCCAGCCCTGTAACTTCTTTTTTTTGAGATGAGGTCTTGCTCTGTTGCCCAGTCTAGTCCTAAACCCATGGGCTAAAGTGGTCCTCTTGCCTCAGCCTCTCCAGTAACTAGAACTACAGGCGTGCCACCTCATCTGGCTTTGGTGACATTTTGAATGATTACATATATTTTATCCATAGATGTATCCTGGTTTATTTGCCTGATCTCTTGGTGTTGAGCACTTACGTAATTTCCTTCATTGCATTTTTATAAATAACGCTGCTGTGAGCTGCTTTGTTGCGTCCACTGGTACTTTCTTAGGCTTGGTCTCTGCAATGGAAATTTTAGGATCAAAAGTTGGTTTGTTTTCAAGGCCTTTGACTGAGTGCCCCATGGCTTTGGCAAGGCTTTGCCCACATAAACATCCAGATACCAAGGATGAAGGGAGCTGTCACTGTTATACTCCCTGATGTCCCTGTATACTAGCTCTTTATACAGCGTCCAGCGCACTTGAGTGTGTAGAATTGAACTCACTCCTGTGAGCACTACTCTCCTCACCTGCAAAATGGGCCCATCGTGTGGTCTCTGTGAGCCTCATCCTCTTTGTCTATCCAGTGATGTTAAAAATCAGTGCTTCTCAGGGGCACTGTGTAGGTTAAACAAATGGTGCATGTAGAGGACAGGGGCATTGTTGGAATGCTTTTTTGGTGTGACCTATGTGTCCAGGTTTCTTAAATTCTTGGATTCGTAGTTCTGGTTGTATCTTTTATTAGCTGTGCATCTTTGGGCTTGTTTCTTGAATTTTCTGTGCCTCAGTTTCCTCATTTATAAAATGGGGATAGAAATACCCCAGAGCAGCTGCAGGGGGGGGGCACCAAGTGCAGCGTGGAGAGCAACACCCGGTAAAAACTGGCTCTAATTATATGAACACAAGTGACAATTATTTCTAAGATAATCTAGCTCATCTCTTCTTGCCAGGTGCCAATTTTAGGGATTTGTTGACCTGGGATTGGTAGAAGCACAGGGAAGGGAACAAGATGATTTAAAATATAATCATCTCTCCATGGTCTGTATTTGCATTGTCCACTTTGAGGATTACTTCTATAGCAAAATTTCAGTCACAGGCTAATTTTCTCCTGCCACACCGTGTGCTTCTGGTCTCCTCCTGGGGCCGTATTTATGAAACGTGGTCTAGGTTTAATATTTGCGTAAGCAAACATAATTAGGAAGGCAAATACAGCACACCCATAAAAAATGAATCCCATAGTGCTTTGCACAACTCCACTGACGTGAGTCGGACATCTGCCAATTTGGACTCGTGGTCCCTTTGGGAGCCCCTGCCCATCGCTGCTGTCACAGTTTTGTCCCTGGGTGGGAGTGACTCACAGAGAAAGGGTCATCAGGGCCTTCAGGAAATGAAGGGTCTTTTTCCTGAGCTGAGCCCCAGGACAAGTGAGATAAATCTTTTCAGTTCTCATTTAGGCTGACAAGAGCCTTACTGGTAATGGAGGTTAACAGGGTGGAAAATAATAAAAAAAAGTCTACAGCTGAGCTCCTGGGTGCCTTGTTACCAGGTCTGTGCCTGCAGAACAAAGGAAATGACCCACCTCCTATAGCTGGAAGAGCTGGGACCAGAGCCTGGCTGGCAGATTGAGCACAGTGCAACCCTTTGTGTGGCTTCAGTTATATATAACCTGGAGACTGAGGCCTGTATGCCTTATGTACCCAGGGTTCCTATGGTCCTCAGAATCTCCAAGGAAGCCCGGCTCTGGTCAGTTTGGGGCCTTGGACAAATTCAAGGAGAACCCAGACATGGTGGCTTTTGGCCCCTCTCATCAGTGTGGCTGAGCTTTTGGAGTTTCTCTCAGAACTGCGTCTTACTCACTACCAGGGGGCAAGTCTCTCTGAGTCTGTTTTCTCACCCAGGAAATGGAAACGGAGAGGCAGGATCTGTCTGACTTCATAACCTACCTCTCTGTGATTCTCCATTTGCTCTGAGGCAGCTCTTTGAATTCTAGAAGCCCATGCTCCTAGAGCTTGTTTCGAGTGGGAGATGAAGATCAGCCATGCACAAGATCTTAGAGGCCATACAAAGTGACCAGGACTCTTACAGTTGCAGACAATGGAAATCTGGCTCCACCTGCTCTCAGAAAGAAAGAGAACTTGCCAGCTCTTATGGGGTGAGATTCAGGGTTGGAGGCTTCTGGAAAACAAAGGGTGTTATCAGAACTCAGTCTTTGTAACTCTGCTTCAATTTCTATTTTCATTTTTTGGATAGCAGAGGGACTTTTTCAAGCTAATCTATCCCCATGACCAAATTGACCCCTAGCAGTTCCAGGCTTTCATCCTACCGGCTTCAAGTCCCTTTTCCTGGAATTAGGCTTTCGGGCTCTGATTGGCCCAGCAGAGGTTATGTGAGTGTTCCTGAAGGCACACCTGCAGCCAGAGAGATGCGGTGCTCTTGGGAAAGATGACAACCCTTAGGTTAGATAGACACTCAACTCCACTGACACATGAGACTGATAATAGGTGAGGAGTAGTTCTCCAAGAAAAAGTGGGGTGCTCTTACAAGAAGAAGGGGGAAATGAAACAATTGATGTCCAATAGGCTATCTGTTCCAGGCCCTTTATTATCTTCTGTTAGATGCCCCTGAACAAACGTTGCTCATTACCTCTCAGGATGGCTCATTTCATTTGAGGACAACTGTGATCGATAGAAATGCTCTCAATGCTGAAACAAAATCTTACAGTGTTTCTTTTCTCTATTTTTTATATGTTCTTCTTAGATATACATGATAGTAGAGCATATTTTTACATATTGTGCATATATGGAGTATAACTTATTCTAATTTGTATCTCATTCTTATGGTTGTACATGACGTGGCATTTCACTATTGTGAATTCATATATGAACATAGGAAAGTTATGTCTGATTCATTCTACTGTCTTTCCTATTCTCATCCCCCTCCCTTCCCTCAATTCCCTTTATCTAATCCAATGAACTACTATTCTTCCCTCCCCCATCCTTATTATGTGTCAGCATCCACATATCAGAGAGATTTAGCCTTTGTTTTTTGGGGACTGGCTTATTTCACTTAGCATAATAGTCTCCAGTTCCATCCATTTACTGGCAAATGCCATAATTTCATTTTTCATTATGGCCAAGTAGTATTCCATCATGTATATATACCACATTTTCTTTATTCATTCATCTGTTGAAGGGCACCTATGTTGGTTTCATAGCTATTGTGAATTGAGCTGGTATAAGTGGCTGCATAACTATAGTATGCTGATTTTAAGCCCTTGGGTATATAAACCAAGGAGTGGGATAACTGGGTCAAATGGTGGTTGCATTCCAAATTTTCTCACTGGTTCTACTCACACCCTTGATCCAACCCACATTAAAACCTATCAGTTACTCAAGATGGAGATCATGACCCACCCATCCAGGTTTTTCCTGCTTGTGGACAAACAGCCCTGTGATTTTACTTTGCATTTTTTTTTTCACCTGCGTGTAGTTCCTGGATCATGCTGGGTCTTCTTTGACCTGTGCAAGTTAGTATTCAGAAGCAATCTTTAGGAAGCGCTGACCAGTTGAGAGTGGAGTGGGGCTGCCTAGACCTATGAAGATGTTTGCCTTTGGTTTTTTTCCTTGCTGCGTTGTCCCTGGCTGTCCTCCAACTCCTGGGCTTGAGCCACCTTCCTGCCTCAGCCTCCCAACTAGCTGGGACTATAAGTGTGTAGCAGTGCACCCAGTTGACATTTGCTTTTTTGATGACAGTTTTATTTTGTGATTGATACTGAAGTCTCAGTCATTTAAAACCTTGAGGTATTTTTGTACCAATTGTTTTTTAATCTTGCTATGAATTCTGCATGTGTTTTTTAAAATATTTGTTCTTTAAAAATGTTATTATGTTCTAGTCAAATGGGATCAATATCCTTGTTTAAGCAATATTTGAGCAGCAAGAGGGTAACTTTTCCAAGTGGTCCTAATTCTTTCTCTGGGATAAAA